ACCACACATTTTATCAACCGCGAGTAGCCAGGAGGAAAAGATCACAAATGGTCGACGAAGAGTTAATTTTCTCAACCAGAAAACTACACTCTTTTGAATGCTAATATGTTTAAATCCATTTAAATTTATTATTTACAAAAAAAATAAATGAAATACACTCTGGGAAACACTCAGACAATGAAAAAACAGATAACAATGGTGTTTTACAGATCACACAAAATTTAAATCAAGAAAAACTGAAATACATACATGAAACACAAGCAAAATTTATTAAAAGTTATTTTCTGGGTTTACCAACACACACATTTTGGTTCAGTTCAACTATTAATTACCTTGCCATGTTGTTCCTGACAGATTTTTTTGTTTAGAAAAACAGAAGAATGTTGAAGTTTGTGAAGTTTTATTAACAGTAGATGATATGATAATCTGATTGGACGGGGCTGACATATGAAGAAATATTGTTCAGTGAAAAACTGATGATGGGGCATGCCCTGAAAGTCTTCCAGTCGAATGTCCTAATGTTCTCAATAAAAAAATGAACTAATAAGTGTTTGCATATAGTTACGTAATTTGAGCTCATAGAATTCCTTGAAGGAGTTTAGCACTCCAAAATAATACAATTTTATTTTTACCTAACAATTTCACTTTTATTTTTCATTAGCTGTAAAATCTCTGACACATTATTTTTTTCTGGGTCTTATTATATAGATACACTGTTAAAACTGAAAATTAAAGCACATCTGAGTCAGAAGTAACTTCCCCCTCAATGGCTACCACCACCACCAACAACAAGGAATATTGTCAGAAAAGTAAAGTGCTGGTCTGGAAACAATATCGAAATAAAGGACAGTCAGTAGCCATATACTGTGGGTCTATTTTGAGGGATCATTTATTGTTATTTTGTAAATTATGGGGAATTTGCGATCAAAAGTGGACAGGTTTGTTTTCTGGGCCTTATATAGATACACTGTTAAAACAGACAATTAAAGCACATCTGAGTCAGAAGTGACTTCCCCCTCAATGGCTACCAACAACAACAAAGAATGTTCTCAGAAAAGCAAAAGTGGGGTGAAATGTGGGGTTCCTGTCTAAATGACAAGTAGACAGGTGGCTAGTTAAAAGCCTGGTGTCGATACATCTAACCAATCAGCATCATCCTTACCTGTGAACTTATCTCTTTCTTATCATCCTCTAGTTGTCTACACTTATTTGCCCATTCTTCATGTTTATTCTCTTTGCTGATAATTGCTTGTAGTTCCCTTGCTAATGTATCTCTGTCACGTGTCACTTCATCCAAGGCATTCTCCATCTCTAAAAGAGTGGCTGTATTGTCCACAGACCTCCTTCCGGATTGGATTTCCTTGGCCAGCTCATCTCGGATATTATCAGCCTCTGACCTCGCTTCAGAGAGTTCCTGATAATATGTGATAGGATTGGATTAGAAAAAGCACACTTCTGGAATGGTATGTAATTCATATAAATAAATAAATA